ATTAGTTGATGAAGATTTTTATTAAGATTTTCGATAATTGCCAAAAAGCGTGTGGGTGTGGGTGTGAATGTGAGTATCAGTCTTCCCTTGACCCACACCCACACCCACACCCACACCCTCAAGATCTCCACGATCAGCCATTTTCTTTATTCTATTTTAATCATTTGTTGCAATGGGCGCCATTACATGATTTAATGTTTCCATTGTTGATGAATTCATCTCGTTTATTGTAGACTAAAATTAGCTTTGATCAAATTTGATTGATACAATCTCAAAACTACTCTTATCTTGTCTTCTATGTTTAACTAATAACTGACAATGAATGTTAAATATATATATATATATGACATATCGTTTTTTTTTTCGAACATCTGTGACTCTGTCAAATTGTCACACCTTATATTTTGACAAGATAAGCCCATATATGATCGCGCTGTTATTCATTCATTGGTCGTTTTAGTTTTACCTGACATATTATTTAAAATTTTTATTTTTAAATTAATTCAGTCCTAAAAGGAAGAGTGTCTTTGTTTATTTTGAAAAGTTTCTCGATCTAAAACAAAATGTGAAAAGAACGTAAGTGAAGTTAGCATCATATTCGCGTAAAGGCTGCTCATATTCGTTCCGGGATCTGTTCCAACTGTTTTAGGGAGTTCCACAGTACAACTCGACAAGCTCTATCCGATAGTATATTTGGAATTTTTATAGCTCAAATCATGTGAGAATAAAAGCCAAAATACTTAAGGGTGTGGGTGTGAACAGCTACCATAACTAGCTTCACGTCGACTAAGATGATCATCAGATGGCTTAACTTCTTAATATGATTAAAAAATCACAAAGAAATCAATTTATTTTTCTACAGAATTGTTATCCCTTTCGATACGGGAGACATCTATATACAGCTGGTTCGACAGCATATATGTGTCCCCCGTTTTTAAAGGGTTAAAGAACAAAACATAGAGTGACTGTGGATATTATATTCTGTCTTCATCCACACCCAACCCACACCCACACCCACCCACACCCTCAAGATGTTCATCACAAGCTTCTTTTTATTATTAACATTGTGATAAAATATATTTTAGTAAAAAACACTGAACACACAAGCTATTTGAGATCTATTTCAAACATGATAAACATACGTCAACGTGATTATTAATATTTTTCTTCCAGTATGTTATAGATCAATAAACGTGCTAAATGTATGGAAAAAGTTAGAGTTATGTATTTAACATCTTTTAGTCACTCTACCGAGTGAGCGAGCAATGAAGGAACTTTTTATGTATGTAATAATTTTACAACTTATTATCATTATCGGAATTACAATTGTGAATACAATCTATTTATATGATACTGAAGATAGTACATTGATAGAAGTGTTTGATTGTATTCATGTTGCGGACACACATTATTGTCGTCGATCCAATCAACCTATACCGTTGAAACGAAACCAAAGGCAAGGACAATGTTACCATAATGGTACATCGTATTCATTCGCCAAACTTCGATCTACGAATATCAGTGTTAGAACTATTTTGCATCAATGGAGATCAAGTATTGAAAACGTAGAGCTATATGCTCGATATTTACGACAAGATAATCCTTCGATCGATGATGATCAGAGTACTCTTTGTCAATGTACAAATCCATATTCGTTCGGAAAAAACTGTGAATATTTTTTACCCATCGCCAATGATACATTCGAAGCTACACTCGATTGGGAATTACAGGTGCAACATTCTCATGAAGATTATGCTCAATATTACAGTGACATACTATGTTATACTACGTTGGTATGTGATTCAGGTAGTTTGTGTCTTGATTGGCGTGATATTTGTGACGGGATTCAGCAATGTATATATGGTTATGATGAAGAAGTGTGTGATCTTCTTGAATTTAATGAATGCGAAGATCGTGAATATCGTTGTATGAATGGAATGTGTATTCCTGAAGAATATTTTCTCGATGGTGATTATGATTGTATGGACTTAACTGATGAAAAACAATCATTCAAAGATACGAATTGTGCTTATCAACGGGCTAATATTGCATGCGATGATCGAGTTTGTTTACCATATCAATGGTCATGCGGTGATGGGCAATGTGTTGAAAGTCGATTTGCTTTTCAAAAAGTTGCATTCGGTCAACATTCATGTATTAGTCGACGTGATCAATTTTATATGTGTGAAATAAATTTTTTTGAGAGACAATGGACATTACATAATGGAAAATGTGTTCGATCAAGAGAATCCATTGGATGGAATAATCAAAATATGGATAGCCTTGAGAAATGTTTATATTATTTTAAATGTCAACTTACAGGAGGATTAGAAAAACAATGTCCATGCGATGATATATCGTCTTGTAGTAAATATCTTATCTCGTACTGTCCTACAGTCTTTAACTATCCAATCGATCAAGTTGTTACTTCTTATATAACGAGTATCTACTCTAATATACATAATCACTATGTGAAAAATCCAAATATTTTCTTAATTCATGGAATTATCAAATGTCGAGGATTTTTAATTGAAGGATCGATTAGAATATCATATCAGGAACAATTAGATCTTCGTCATTTAGAATCTGAGTTGTGCAATTATTCTTCGTTTGGTCATATGCTCATTGAGGCTGGTTATGATCGTGATTGTTATCGAGATTCATTAACATGGACTCATCGACCATATTATTTTGTTGACGTATGCCAATATTCTAAAGAATGTATTTCTGCCTATCGAATCAAAGATGGTATTCGAAATTGTGCTGATGGAAAGGATGAAGAACAAAATCCTGTTAAAGTTATACGAAGTTGTTCTCCTATAAAAAAGCATCGTTTTCGTTGTTCGATTAATGAACCTACTTGTTTATTTGTGAATAAACTTGGTGATGGTAAAGTTGATTGTCAAAATAAACACGATGAATCATTGCTTGAGACAAATTTACCTCTTTCAGAAACCATTTGCAATGACCAATCGAAAAAGGATTGCAAATTTCTTCGTCAATATATCGAAAAATCATGGGAAATCAACTCATCCTCCAATATCGTTAATGACTTAAATACAGTCAAAATATCTTTTCGTCAATTTTGCGATACATTCTATGATTTACGATCGAAAAAGGACGAAGATTTAAATACTTGTAAAAAATGGTGGACATGTCGTGAGGAACAATGGCAGTGTCATACTGGACAATGTATTGATGTGGCTTGGGTATTAGATGGTGAATGGGATTGTAGTGATGCATCAGATGAAGATGCTATATTCTTTTACAATCATACATTCTCAACACGGAATTTAAATCTGATTACAATGTCGGTTTTACAGAAAAAATTTAGTATACTATATAAAACACAAGCTTTTTCTGGTATTTGTAATTTGACGAAAGAATATCCATGTTTTCGAGTTGGTGTGACTCATCCATTGTTCAATATAACTTATGATCGACCCTGTATAAATCTAGAACAGATCGGTGACGGTTATGTCGATTGTATTGGTGCATTAGATGAACGAATACTCTTCAACACTGTACCGATTCAACGACACTTGGACGCGATTTTTTATGCGTTTCGAGTGGAATTTGTATTGATGAATTTGATATATGTACGCACCTATGTCCCAACTCATTGGATAATCATGTATTATGCTCTCATAATATGTCACTTTCGTATTGTTCACAACCACAGGAGACACAATGCATAGATGGTCAATGTGCAGTTGTTCTAAAGTGTGATGATAATACGGATTGTTTATATGGTGAAGATGAATACAATTGCGAACGTACTGAAAGAATCCTCATAAATAATAATGGATATGTGTATCGTATAGAAAAACAAAAACAAGTGAAGAACAGTAAATATAAAATACAACAATCTAAATTACCTGTTCATCTCAGTAGTATTGAAAGGATTGATATATTTAGTTCATCAGTACACGATAAATCTATTCCTGTTCATTCTTTCGTTCCAATTCAATCATTACTACCATACGCTTGTAATCGTGGTGTTGGAGTTTTGTTATTTAGCAATACAACAATTTGTTTTTGTCCTCCGCAATACTATGGAAACAAATGTCAATTTCATAGTGATCGATTAACCATGATACTACGATTAAACTTATCAGGATCCATTTATGCAGAATTCAACGATCCGACAATTGTTCTTAAATTACTTGTTCTATTTATATTCAATAATCAAACAATAATTGCTAATGAATTTCATGCTCGACCTGATATAGAAAGTACGATCGAAAAGAAATGGATTGGTTATGGTATTTATTCTCGATCGAATGAATCAATCATTTATAAACGAAAACGATATTTTAATCGTTCAAATATTATTCATGAACATCCATATACAGTTCGGATTGAATGCTATGAATTACTTACGAACAAGAAACCACAACTGATAGCTGTATGGCAATATCCAGTTTATTTTGACTATTTACCATCGTTTCGTTTCTCTAAAGTACTTCGATTACATAGACCTAGGAATGAAATATATCGTCCATGTTTTAGTAATCCTTGTACATCACTAGAAGAATGCCATCCACTTGAAAATCAAAGATCAACTTATATTTGTCTTTGTCAAAATAATTATACTGGAACAAATTGTTCGACATTGGATTCCTTATGTGTAAATAATTATTGTTCACCACAAGCTTTATGTAAACCAACGTATCGTGGTATTCTTAATGGTAATGAAAGACCTCTTTGTATTTGTCCATTGAATACATTTGGACATCGATGCGAGTTAGAAAATGATATTTGTTTTGAAAATCCTTGTCAAAATAATGGTTCATGTTATTCAGGTACTAAAACAAATGAATTTCTCTGTGTTTGTAAAGCTGATTTCTATGGACGACAATGTGAAGAAAAAAAACAAACAATACAATTGAATTTTCATGATTCTATTCCGCATCATGGTGCTACTGTTCAATATTTTATATTAAATTCTAATACATTCGATCTTATTCTTTTATATCAACGTGTGTTTAGTATACTTCCTCAGAAAGTAAATGATCTTATCAGTGATATTAAAGTACCTAAGATAATTCTGATTCGATTCTATATAAATAAACAAATCAAGATATATTTGATCGTTTTACAAATAAATGCCACTTCAATTAATCGAACAATTTATTGGTATGAACAACAACAATGTTCACCAGCACATAGTTTATGGTCGATATCAGAAGGTAATAAATAAATGATAATATAATTTTGATTTCTAATATAATCCTCCATTATAGAACTATCTCCAATAAAGTATCATTATCTTTGTTCTAATATGAGTGTATTGGGATGTTTTTATGATGATGATTATTTATGTGTTTGTATGAAAGAGAAGGTCAATGAGACAGAATGTTTTGGTTATGATCATTATCTTGATCAATGTTCACGTTGTTTAGCTAATGGACTGTGTTTACAAGATGATCCTCTAAAAATAAATAGTTTTTTTTTGTCTTTGTCCACCATGTTATTATGGTTCATTATGTCAATTTAGTAGCATAGTACAAAGTTTTTCTTTATATTCTCTTTTTGTTAGTATTCGCATCGATAAACAGTTATTATATGTAACTTTAGCAATGATTATTTTAATTGTTGGTGGAATCAATAACTATGCTAGTTTTATCACTTTTAAGCGTCCCAATTTATATAAATCGGGTGTTGCACGATATCTTCTCCTAAGTTCATTAATGAGTCAATGTTCACTTTTAACATTATTTGGTGTGATTATACTAAGTGTTTTGCCTTCATTTCTATCAAGTAATATTTCATGCAAAATTCTTTCATATTTTCTCTCGACATTTACTCGATGCACGTGTTGGTTTTTTAGTTGGATTACTCTCGAACGTCTTTTCCTTGTCCTGTTTCCATTTAATCAATTTTTAAAGAAACCTATTTTGGCTTCAGTGGTTATAGCTATTACCCTGGTTATTGTTAGTTCTATGCATATTCACGAACTTTTCTTCTATATTCGTCTTGAGGATCCTAACAAACAAATTTTATGTGTTGCTAATTTTACACAACAGTGGTCAGCATATAATCGTTTTAATTTGATGGCACATTACATCATTCCATTTTGCATTCAAATCATATCTATTACTATTCTGATTGTTCTTATTGCACGTAGTCGTTCACGTGTAAAACAAAAACGTACGAGTAAATTTATTGAACTTTTGAAACAACAATTCAAAGAGCAAAAGGAATTATATATTTTACCATTGGTAATCATCATTAGCAGTTTACCTCAAGTGATACTCTCGTTTATTTTTTCATGTACTGAACTCTCGTCATGGCAACGACATACACTACTTTCTATGTATTTGTTATCTTATGCCCCGCAACTACTTGGATTTATCATATTTGTCGTTCCATCAGAGAATTTCTCGAAAGAATTTCAAAAAACACAATTGAGCAAACGTTGTTTATTTAAAATGATTTATCGGAAACATACTTGAGCAAATGAATGCATCGCAATATGTATGTTAACCCTTTACCCCCGGTGGATCAAAAACAGAGACCGGCAGGACGACGATTCTTCTGTCCCGTCCCGTCTTCAAAAACATTTGACCATCCCATCTTGAGGGTGGGTGGGTGTGGGTGTGGTGTTGGTGTAGATCAAGACAACTCCCTGACCCACACCCACACCCACACCCTCAAGTATAAGAGGTGTATTGACTTGTCACACCTTCAGGTGCAATCTTGATGGTTCATGTTATGTTCATATACTTAAAAACTATCTTCTTCCTGCTGCTAAACAAG